CTTCTGTTAATGACACAAAAATAGCAGCAACAGCATTAAAAAGCAGCTGTTATGCTCTGTCCTCTTCCAACGCACGGAACGGTTGCTTGGGACCTTTCAGTCTTACCTATTCACTCGCGGCAATATTTCACTTTTTAAAATTCGACAACCCTAATTCAGGACTGATTTTTCGCAGGCAACCCTATTTTACCGTGTTTATAATTAAATAATCTTTATTTTGAATTAAATTTGATTAAATTATCAGGCCGTTGCAAAATCCTACTATAAATTTACCTGTTTAGACCTGGCAACCCGAGAGTTATGACTGGAATACAATAGGCAACCTAACGTTTCCATATTATATGGGCTTCATACTTTCGATTGAAATGGAATTTGTTTAATAGTCAAACCGGTGAAACATTTGAAAAAAAAATATTTTTTAAATTATTAATTAGTCATGTTCTGGACTGAAATTTATTAGGCAACCCATACGGAATATAATTATTGACATATTAAATTGAATATAAAATAAGTTTCATCAAATAAGCATCTCGGTGAAGGTCGTTCAAGGCGGGATCTTAGACTATCAGAAATAGATTTCGTCTGGACTAGTAATTTTAATTCAGATTTAGTTTAAGTAATTTTGGACATTATGGACATAATAATAAGATCTTTTAATGACAATTTAATCAATAGCTGAAGGATACAGATATAATTATATTTATAGCTAGCAACTGTTGTTGGTCTGTAATCATAGGATTTAATGGTTATTTAGTGTCCCTTATAAAACTAATATCTGTGTGATAAGAAAACTTTATTTGTTAATATAATAGCAAGTATTAAACTTGTTTTTTTCTGTGGTAGAATAAAGTTTAACTTCTTGAACAGACTATATACATTTGGAATCAAAAGTATAAAACTATTGTTTATTAAGCAATTTTCTTTTTCTTTCTTCAGAAATCTGAGCAGTATATTTTTCCAAGTGTCAAAAATAAAGCCAGAGGTCACTATTAAAAGTCAGACATTTAAGAACAATGTGGCAAATTCAGGTTTAAGCTGTGCACTAATTTTTAAAAACTAATTAATTTAAATGTTGTCGTAATAAAAAATTCTGTTACTGAATTAAATTGTTTAAATAACAGCTATTTAAATGAGAGATTACCACTATTATGGAATTTACTTACATAAACAATGCATTATGTAATACATTATTCTCTTTGAACTGTTATTCTTAGCACATTTTTGTATGAGACGGCAATGTTCCTTTTTGTTTCAAAAATATAAACTCGTTTTTGTATGTATGTATGTATGTATATTTTTTATTGCACATCACATATAGATTAAAGATACTAATATGTACAAAATGAATCATTTTATAGAACAAAACAATTTCTATTTTACTTAAAGCAGCATTCAATCATCAATTTTTGAATAGAGTTGATTGGGTCTATTTGTTTTTTATTTGAACTTAATACAACAAGTATGAACATCTACCTGTATTTAATGTGTGTCCGTTGACCCGAGCGTACGGCGCGTCGCGTTCCGCGCGCGCCTCAAAGAGCCATCAGACCACCACAGATGGGGCCCAATACGGCCGATGCCGATTCGGAGTCGCGGAGAACCTAACGGGTAACCGGGGCTCCAGCTCGACGTGCAGGAGAAGGAACGGGGTGGTTTTTAGTCAGTAAGAGTCTGACACTCCCTCCCGCCTCACCCAGGCGAGAGCAGTCATTCGATGATTTTCCCCCCTTAAAAAAAAAAAATGTGTGTCCGTTAAACAGTGTGGAATTTGTCTTGGATATTGTCTCCCAGTGAACCTATAAGTAGGGCAGAGATAAAAGTAGCAGGTGATTAAGTAACCTTTAATATAAACAAGAAATTAGATATTATTTTTATAAAGGTCAACTATTGTGAGTGGAAGTAATTCGATTGCTCACAAAAAGGAAGTTTTTACTTTAACCTTGGCTAATAGGTATTATGTACAACTTGAAATAACTTATTGTTTGCATACATATGTAAGTTAATCACATAAGGACGCCTTTTATCCCATGAAGGGTTCAACAAAACCATTAAATGCCTTCTACTAACGTGATTTTCAACTTTGTTGTGTTACAATAAGGTCACAAATTCATTAAAGGAATTGGTGTCTGTACAATTGGTGTCTGTAACTTACAACTAAAAGGCGTGACTGTGATCTAATTCTTGATCCAATTCCAGACTTTAATCCCATTAACATTGTTTTCAGTTTCTGACGTATTATTCTAGAGAGATTTCGTATGCGCACCTGCGACCTTTTGATATTTCACTGAATATTTATAAATACACAAATGTGTTTGTCAAATAAAAACATTATGAACGCAATCGATAATCTGTATCAGTAATACAGGTCTGATATAGTGACAGTATATGTTATCTGTATTGTATTTTATCTGTAACATATAAGTGTAATTAAATTCTAGTCGTATGTCCGTATCGTGGGTAGTAAACTAATAGAGGACAAACACCATACAAGAATATGTCCTGATTCCTATTAAGATTGTTATGATTAAGAAACTAGGTACGTAGTAAGTAAATGATCGGAGATTGATTAGAAAATGTTATAAGAGTCGAAAGTTTTACCAAAATCCACATTGCTTCCTTTAGTTTGAACTAGCGACCCGCCCCGGCTTCGCACGGGTGCAATATGCATTTATACATATAAACCTTCAATAAGAATCACTCTTATCTATTAAAAAAAAATTCTAAGCCGCATCAAAATCCGTTGCGTAGTTTTAAAGATCTAAGCATACATAGGGACAGACAGACGGCGGATAGCGACTTTGTTTTATACTATGTAGTGATGTATTTATTATTATAAATATTTTCCCTGGTTTTGTGGGGCCTAAATCATCCCATGATTTCCCCTGCCTTGGGTGAGGGGAGAGAGACTGTCAGACTCTTACTGACTCAAAAAATCACTCCGTTCCTATTCCTGCTTCGAACCGGAGTCCCGGTAACCCTTTAGGCCGTCCGGCCGGAAGGTATCTGTCTCGCTATTTAAACAATGGTAGTTAGTTTAGATTTTAGATTGAATTTTGGAAAAAGGTTAATACGATTGGAAGTTCCGTTAAACAAAAAGTTCAGGTTAAATCAGGTTTTCATCATCATCATCAACAGCCTATAAATGCCCACTGCTGAGCAAAGCCGCTTCTCACACGCTTCAATGCTTCAACCTTCTCGGTTTAAGCATTGATCACCACGCTTGCTCAATGCGGGTTGGCGATTACAAACTTATAATTATAAATTTTCAGGTTTCCTTACCATGTTTTCCTTCACCGTTTGTCAGTGGTGTCTAGATAATCTTAAAAAGTACATATAACTCGGAAAAAGTCACATTGGTACTTGTTGATAGGTTTCAAACCCGCACCCTCATGCATGAGAAGCGGGCGTCTTAAACCTCCGGGTCACTACGACACTTATGGTTCGAATTTGGAGGATTTAATTCTCCGAAGCTCCGAGTACATCTGTATCTCCTAGTCTATTATCAACATTATTCAATAGACTAGCAAATTTTTTCAAATCGAAATGTTGATTTAGAGATTAGTATGTTCCAACAAACAAATTCTTTAGCTATATAGTGTTAGGTTTATTTAAACGTGAATAATAATCACACAAATAAATAAGCTGAAACTGTTTGTAAAGTTTTTATTTCTAATTCTATTTGCTTGCTAGGCTAACAATTCGATATCACGAAATCGCAACTGTCGAAATTGGGCTAAAAGATTTCACTTAAATTGAAGATTTTTACCTGTTTATTTTTAATGTCTGAAATACATTGAATGGAAATATCAAATCACTAAAAGAAATATCGAGACTACAATAAAAAAAAATTACAGCCTGCAAAGAGGTACCTAATCATTAGAATTAAAAATGTGTGAGTTCGAAAGACAGATGTTGCAGGTATTTACTAGGGGTACATTTTAATTTGATTTATTTTCCAATTTTTTAGGCAATGTGTATAGTCTTCTTTTATTACAGTTTTTTCGGCAGTTTTTACGACTACCAGTAAAAGTTGTCTCGATTCAACCATGCGTTTAATATGTTTACGACCGACTACTCAAACTTCAGACAATTTGAAATTGCTTATTTTTTCGTGTTGCCGCGGCCTTACGCTTCTATGGTCTACTAGCCGGTGTAGCTAATTATGATCTTTTGTCGTAAATGTTGTTTGAGAATACTACAATTACCTATTGTAACTGATAAACTGAAAGACTAGAAATTATAAAAAATATGTCGGAAGAATTTGATTAATCGTTATTTTTCAAATTAGATTAGTGAATAATTATATTAGATCGTAAGTTATAACGTTCATAGGAAATAATAGTTGTGGTAATTGAGGATAAAAACGTTTTAACATAATTCATGATCAGAAATGTTGTTAAATAACAAATTAATGTTTATTGTACCTAAATAACTGCCAAATTTTAATGTCATGTGAATCTCTTGCAGTAACTACTTTCAACAGTAGCTACTTTCACATTTTTCATAAACGATCTCGATCATATAATAATATTGATGCATTAATTCTCTATGGAATGTTGGTTGTACGAATAGGAATTTGAACAAACCGGGATGTAAGCTATTAGGAACACGTTTAATAGGTGTCGGGTAATTAGGCATCGTCAACGTCACTGGCCTAGATCTTGTAAGGTTTATGAGGCAGTAAAGTATTTTACGGCATGTTGAACTTCGAACTTGGGATACTGCTTAAAAGACAAAATACATTTATTTTTATGTAGATATATAAACTTTGTTTTGAAAGTCGGAATTAATAAGAGATAGGTACTTTAAGGTTGATTTGCTGATCCAGAACTGCGGACAATTTACCGGGGCCGGTTCGGCTAGAAGCAGAAGTAGGAACGAGGTCGTTTTAAGTCAATAAAAGTCGAACTCATGGCGAGAAATCCCCTCAAAAAAAAAAGATGGTTTATTTACTGGTTTTGATTGAGACTATTTTAAACTGCTGGACATTTTGGCTAGGTGTCTTGATTTTTACTTCCATTGATCCTGTCCTATTGACAAAAACTTACTGTACTTACAAATTAACTTTAATTAGTTTGACATTACAACTTGTGAAATTATTTATTGCTATTGTTCGAAGGAAAGTGTTCTACAATGTGTGTTTTATTCGACAGGCAACTATCGGAATTGACTTCCTCTCGAAGACTATGTACTTGGAGGACCGTACGGTCCGGCTTCAGCTCTGGGACACCGCTGGACAGGAGCGGTTCCGATCTCTCATACCTTCCTACATCAGGGACTCCACTGTCGCCGTTGTCGTTTACGATATTACCAGTAAGTATTTACATCTTTCTTTATGCATGTTCAAATACTAATAACTCCTCGTTGGAGGTATTGGATAAGTTATTAATAATATAACATTTTTAATTAGCTTGGTGGCCCATATTGCGTGCAGTTCCACCTTTATGTCTGAAACGATCGCAATTCGAGAAATGCCCTTTACCTTTTTCCTATTTTGTCTAAGCATTATATTTTTTGTTCCTCGAACGGCCATGATGCATAGAACATACAAATGATCAAATGCACTATGTCAAATGTAGGTTGCATTCGTAGTAACACATAAAATATTCAGTTCTTTTAACATCGATTGTGATCTATTACAACTTAGATATTAGAATCTCCATTTAATAGTGGCTTCATTCTAACATGGAACTTCCCGATACTTCTTGCACTAGTCGTGATGTCAACTTCATGTAAAGTAGACCTAACGTGTAACGATATGATCGATACCGTTATTACTTATTACTATTACCTACCTTGTGACACGGACGGGAACCGGCCAGTCCATTAATAATGCACCTGGAAAAACAGACATCAATATTTCACAAGGAATCTTCATAGGTTGCGCTGTTGGCCTTTGCCATCGATCTGCGAAATACCTACCAATACTTGCTTGGTATAGAATGCTGATTGCCAGACCTTCGGAGAATTTATTATCAGTTCTAGAAAGCATTGAAACTACATATACACACCGACGCTAGTTATACTTAGTTCTTAAGACCTGATGGTGGTTTTATGAGAGATGTGCTTCCATTATTGTTAAGGACATTATTATTTGTAAACGATTTTTGTATGAATTTTTTTGTAACAAGATATTTTATTTATCTAGTTAATTCTATAACACTTTGGAAGGTTTAAAAGAAATTGGATACAGAACTTTGTTCTCGAAAAGTCCAAGTACATAAAATATTGCTCGCGTCCAACTATGTTGCGCGAATTGAATCCCGAGGTAACGATATCTTAAACCCTCGAGCCTCGCTCACATCTGGATAAAAAATAACTCCATTATATTCTGCGGATGGCACACAAAGTAATTGGTATAAATTATTGTTCTGTAGTAATAATAATAACCTATTTCTATTTTACCCTTCCTTTCTAAAGTTCTGGAACGTCTTATTTATAACCAGCTAAGCGCTTTCCTTACCAAACACAGTCTCCTTAATCCTTACCAATCCGGGTTTCGTCCGGGACATAGTACCACTACGGCTCTAGTCCATATCACTGATGACATACGATCCGGTGTTGAAAACGGCAATCTAACTCTGCTCACCTTGCTAGACTTCAGCAATGCTTTCAACACCGTTGATTTTGATATACTGCTTGGAATATTGGACTCTCTTAACATATCTGCAACTGTGATTGATTTCTTTCGTAGTTACCTGTGTGGCCGCCGGCAGCGTGTCGCCATAGAGGGTTCATACTCTTCCTGGTCTGATACGGCTGCTGGCGTACCGCAGGGGGGCGTTCTTTCTCCTCTGCTCTTCGCAATTTTTATAAATTCCATTTCTAATGAACTTCTGTCTTCCTACCACTTATATGCCGACGATCTGCAAATTTATTCACAAGCACCTCCTAATGAATTCTCCGAGGCAGTAAAGATGGTGAATACGGACTTGGCACGAATCTCGGAATGGAGTACGACCTATGGTTTGAAAGTTAACCCCGCGAAAACACAGGTCATTGTTGTCGGTAGCCCCCGCTTACGCTGTAAAATTATGTGGTCGCAGATCCCTTCAATTATTTTTAATGGTACCACAATCCCATACAGTGACACAGTAAAAGACTTGGGTATTGTCATGGACCGAGACTTCACTTGGGAACCTCAACTGAAACAAGTAAGTCGGAAAATGTTTGCGTCTGCGAAGTCTTTGCGTAGACTTCGGAACTTTCTTCCGACTGCTACTAAAATTGCGCTTACTCAATCACTTCTTCTTCCCATCCTCGATTATGCTGACGTCAGCTATCCAGATCTTACCGAAGTGCAGCTAGATAAACTTGAGCGACTCCAAAATTTTAGTATACGGTTTATATTTGGTTTACGCAAATATGATCATATTTCCGAATATCGCGCTAAACTCAAGTGGCTGCCGATCCGCCTTCGCCGGGATACTCATATCTTATCCTTACTCTACAGTATACTGTTTAATCCTACTACCCCCCACTATCTCAAAGAACGTTTCCAGTTCTACCATGACACACATTCTAGACCAGTACGGTCGTCGGAGGATATGAAGCTTGAGATGCCCCAGCATGCGAGCAGATCATTCGACAGATCGTTTACAGTACGAGCTGTTCGACTGTGGAATGCTCTGCCACTTTCTGTCAGACAAGCAGAATCACTTGTTAGGTTCAAAGCACTCGTGAAAAACCATTATCTCTCCACGTTGTAGTCCATTACTATTTCTTTTTGTTTCTTCTTTTACTGTCACCTATTCATCATCTGTACTATATTTTTATTTATGTATTAATGTATATATATATATATATGTATATATGTTGTATGTATAGATATTTATATGGGTATGTTTGTATGTATAAGGTCTTATGTAAGTATTATATTTTATTTTAAATATACTATTTATTTAGAGAATATATATTTTACTTGTAAAAATAATTTATAAGTACCTGAGTACACCAAGAACAACCTCCACTTTCATTCAATAATGCTCCATTCACCCAAAGGTTGCCTGGTAGAGATCGCTATTAGTGATAAGGCCGCCTTTGTACCCTACTATTTTTTATTATAACGTTAATGTATATTCCATTTATTTAAGGTGTACAATAAAGGTTATTATTATTATTATTATTATTAATGCATTTTCTTTTTTGTTACAGATAGCTCGTAAAAGATTAATTTTGAGCTCATAAGTCGCTTTTTCGAAATTTAGTCTTTACTTTTATTACATTACCTTTACTTATTCTTTTCACAAACCATGTTGAATTAGCCATCGAGTTTAAACAAACAGTTTTTTCAACTATATTTTCGTCACTTATTTGCGGACCTAATACATTTTGACATCTTGTAATCTCAACGACACTACATACTTTGTAAGTTTTCCAGCTGTACATTTTAGCCTTTACACTATCCATAACGACTGTCATAAATGTCGACATCCGGGACGGACGGTTTAACGTGATCTCATCAAAAAGTCTCGGGTTAGTGTCGAAGTATCGACGTGACGATGAGATGGGCATAGCAACTGATGATGGATATCTCTAGTTACTTGACTGAAATCTAAAAGTGTTTGTAGCTCCATGTAGCTAAGTTTTTGCGGCCATCATCCATATGACATTTTATAAACCAACAGACATAAGGACCACGTCACCTGACATTGACACTGAGCATATATTTCAAACCGCAACATCTCGATCGCCAGTGCATATTGCGTCCTTTACTCTGATAGTTTTTCAGCGTGTTTCATAAAAAGTTTTGAGCAACCGGGAAATGAAAAGACGTGGTTACAGTAGTGTTGCACGTAGCGTGGTTCTGAAAGGGCGAAAGTGGGCCAATGGCCCGCCGGTCATCGCGCCTCAGGTTACAATTTACGCGCGATCGTATATCAGGTTTAGTGTCGTGAGCTGAGCTAGACGCTCCTCATCATTTTATTTGTCAGGGTAAATAACAGGGTCTCCAATACATATATTTTAGGTATCTTTATTTTTTGCCATTTATTCCGGACTTTTTAGCCAAGCCTGATCGTGTCTGGAGAGCTTTGATGGCGCAACGTCATCTTTCAGACTGCTACGATATGCTACTACTTCTGCTTGCTCAAAAACATACTTATTGAAGTGTACTCTAGTATCTTTAGATTTCAGTGCGCTAGCAAAACAATTTGAAATCTTTAATTAAATCAGTCGGTCACAAGTTCTCCGAACAAATGTAGACTTTATACTGAGGGGTGAAAGTTAATATTTGGTTAGGGGATGTGTGTCGCCTGTGACAAATATTTGTTCGATGTCCGCCCTCCCACGGACCTTGGCCTAGCCTTAAAGTTTTATGCCTAAGCACTAGATATAAAAGGTTACGTTCCTGAACAAGAATTAGATAGTTTTAAACCAATTGTATGTCACCTTATCCTTACCAACTGCATTTTTTTCTGTCAATGTGTCGATCAATATACCTTTGATTTAATATCCATTAACATTCAATGAGAAGCAACCTTGGAAAAAAAAGGTTTCACTAAATTGATGAAAAATTTGACAATCGTAACGTTGACACACATAATATTACGTAGTTTTCATCATAGTACTTATTGATCGTACCATGTTAGGCTGTCTCGATATTGATTGGAGAATTACAACTGATGATTGGCACAATTTTAGTTTCATATTCGTTCAAGGTTCGCCTTCGGAATATTCATAATTGTATTTATTTCCTTAATTAACGCCGTTGTAGATAGAATTGGTAGGTGCTTCGATTATTATCTATTATATCCAAGTTTTTATGACAATCCTGTAACTACTTATACGGTAAAGTCTCTCTTCCTTTGTCCACCTGACTCCATAGATTTTGGAAATCTTTGATTGTTATGTCACCATGCTTACTCTTCCCTCGGTTATCATTCAGCCTTCAGCGTACTCTGACCTGACCAACTTTTTAAATTGTTATTTTCCTACTCACCTGTCAAGCAAGGAGATCCTTTTATATAGAGGAGACCCATCGTCCAACAGTGGACTGTCATAAACCGTTGATTATCAGAGTTATTTAACAGCTATTCTATGCAATAAACGTGACGTGATTCAAGTACTTTCAGTAAGAATATCTGGTAATTTTTGTGAATTCTTTAGACCGATATTGAGGCGTTTAAAAAATACATTCGATTCGGTCTACGCTAGACGCTGTGTCGACCTCAACCTAGTTCGTAATTTAACAACCTGTATCGTACTCATCATGCACTTGGAATTATTGTTTTGTTTCTCATATAATTTAAAATAACATAATGCCTTTTATTCTCCGAAAACTAGTCAACTTTGAGACTCTTACTTGGAATTCGGCAATCACGCTTGCAATCCCTCGCCTATCTCTTAGTCTTTAGTACGCAATCAAAATTGATGATTTATTTCCTAAATACCTAAATAATTATGATAATAGGGTAGAAGCCTTATTTTTATTTCAATGTCCGTCTGGTAGATTATGTTAAATCATTAGACACTTATTTTTTATTTTAATACAGAAATAAAAACCTACTTTCGACGATGTCGCGAAATGTCGCGTGACGTCACTTCTATGTACATTTTATACGTAGAAATGACGTTTTAGCCCCCACTCCTAAACATTGATTCGTTTTATCTAAGTATCATTTTATTATACGACAAAATAAAAAGATACGTGTCTAATATTTTTTCATTACCTAACTTACGGACTAATTAGGTTTTTAATTTTCATACCCTGTCATCATCCCAATTGTACAGTGTAGTATATTGAGGATATAGAAACTGTCTACTTAATGTAGTCGTTTCCAATTCAAACGAGACAGGCAAGATGTTTGTAAATATAAAACGACGTCGGAGAAGACAGTAGTAAGTTGATTTGATTTAATACTCTCAAGGTTATAACAATTAAAATATTATTTACCTCCGGATTCCGGACTACTCTATTCATATACATGGAAATATTACTCATAAATTCTATTTCATTGTCTTAGTCATACAAGGTTGCGTTGGTTACAAAAATTATCTTTCCTTATCACATTGTATTTGTAGCACTTAATAACAAAAATATCATAAGCTTGACCGCGTAGCCTGTTGGAATCGAATATTGTGAGGTTGGCGCAATATTTCTTCTTTCTGTCTCCCCAATCAACCGTTTTTTTCTATTTCATTATCATATGACAGCGACCAACCAGCAGTTCTTTCTGATAAAACAATCTCGAAATCTTCTGTCAAGTGCGGAGATCACGGCAAATACTATTAAATGGATAACACCACTTGTTATTGGTGCATGTTGTCATTGTCACTGTCTTAGGCGCGCCCCGAGCGTACGGCGCGTCGCGTTCTGCGCTCGCCTCAAAGAGCCATCAGACCACCACGGATGGGCACCCAATAAGGCTGATGCCGATACGGAACCGCGGAGAACCTAACGGGTTACCGGGGCTCCGGCTCGAAGTGCAGGAGTAGGAACGGGGTGGTTTTTAGTCAGTAAGTCTGACACTCCCTCCCGCCTCACCCAGGTGGGAGCAGTCATTCGATGAAAAAGTCGTCATTTTTTTCCTCTCCTTTGTAAATGAACAAATCGTATGTGTATAAATTACTTTGAATGTTTAACAAGGATTCTGGGACGATAAAACAGCTAATTGATCGTAAAGCTACTGTAAACTATAAAGAAAGAAATTATGCTTGACGAACTCTCGCATGTGAACAAGTGGGCCGAGTCGTGGGACGTAGTTCAACGACTTAACTGTATCTGTTCGTTGCTTGAGAGATTCATATTCATATAGACAGATAAGTATAATTACTAGGAAGCATAAATGTATAAAGAACAGATTTGATCCTCGGCTTTATCGAGGTTTCAATAATGTTTTGTAAAGGTATTTAAATTTCCAAGATTGATTGATAAAATGTAAAGAGTAAGAAAACAAACAAACTTGCTTAATTCATATTCATAATAGATTCATAATGCATGTCGTATTTGCAGTATATTATTAGTGAAAGAGTATATTTTCCCTATAACTATACTGCTGACGACTTCACGACCTCTTTTTTGCAATCTAAAGGTGATATATATAAGGCATAAATATGATTTGGGCGTTTGTTATACCTAATTTAAACTCAAGTACATACATATATTGGTTACAATAAAAAATCGTAAAGATATTGTTTAATTGATTTTGTAAGGTAACGAGGTGTGGAAGACGGTATTTTGATAGACAAATTGCCATGTAATTAATGATGACGGTGCAAAGATAGGTTTATGACATCACCTAGCGCGGACATCAAGTAGAGACGCGTATAAAGTCCGAATAGTTCGTTTATATGACGAGCGACGTTAAGGTAAAATATAGACATGGACATGGTAGGTCAGGGATATCATCTTTCTTGTGTCCTAAGAAGTAGGTGGATCTTACTACTGTTATTTGAGTGGTATACGAAACAAACACGCAACCTTGTAGTCACACATCCAACCTGTTTTTGGGTCTTGTGCGGCGACCATCTCTTGAGCTATCGGGTAAGATTATGTAACCAATCCATTTATAAAATCACAGCGAACTAAAATACAACCTGTACAATCTGATCACTTTAAATTTGTGGAATTGGATTGATGACAATGTATTTCAGACTTCACTGACAGTGCCAAACATCCTTACTAATATTATAAATCGGAAAGTGAGTTTGTTTGTTTGTTCCACTTTCACGCCGTAACTACTAAACCGATTGCTTTGAAGTTTTGCAGACGTAAAGTTAGAAGTCTGGATTAAATAATACGGTAATTTTTATCCCGGAAAAATTTGATATTCTCGAGGGAAAACGAAATTATTGGTATAGATGGTGCTGTGTGTTATGGTATATGTCACATAGGCTACTTTTTATCATTTTGTGACGCGAGCGAAGCTGCGGGTAAAAGCTAGTGCTGTTAATAAAATACAAAGAATAACCCAAAATATTGTCTCCAACAGATGCAAACTCATTCCACCAGACGTCTAAATGGATCGACGACGTGCGCACGGAGCGTGGGTCTGATGTGATCATCATGCTGGTTGGTAACAAGACTGACTTGTCGGACAAGCGGCAGGTATCCACCGAGGACGGGGACAGGAAGGCCAAGGAGCTCAACGTTATGTTCATAGAGACCAGCGCTAAAGCAGGATACAATGTTAAACAGGTGAGAAAAGAACCTATATATACATAACGCTGTGGATGGCCTAACGGGTTACCAGGGGTCCTGCTTGAAGCAAGAGTAGGAAGTTTTTAGGCAGTTGGTGTCTGACAGGACAGGACAGGTGGGAGGAGAGCCAATGGACGAAATTACCCCTACTGCCTTATTCCATATATAAATAGGTAATGTAATTTAGTAACTATTACTTTTCTTGTGAAATGAAATGAAAATGTGTTTTAAATGAAATACCAGGAACAAAAAAAAAAGAGAATTTTGACAACACTTTGACAAAATAACAATATAAAGGTAAAGCAAGAGAGAGAAAAAAGGATAAAAAGCTCAATTATAAAACTAAAACAAGGTAATAAACGTAGATGTAAAGTAGACCCGAATGGGTCGCCAACTCAGCAAAAAGCTGGGCACAATGAGCACCCAACACTGATATTCAGTGACAGTGACACTTGTGACAACTGCCTTATAAGCTTGGTGTTTTTATATAATAATGTATAAGTACTAATATACTTTTGGTATTTGTATGTTTTCCTGTGTGCCCATAAATAATACATTTATTACCTCTCTTTAAATAAATATGTAAAATATTAATCGTCCAATGGAAAGCATGTAGGTACTTACCTGCACCCGTATTTCCACCGACTACATTTGATTGGATTTACCAGTGTCACTATTATAGCCGCGGAGGACTTAACGGGTTGCCGGGGCTCCGGCTCGAAGTGCAGGAGTAGGAACGGGGTGGTTTTTAGTCAGTAAGAGTCACGCCTCACCCGGACGAGAGAAATCATTGGATGATTTTCCCCCCTCAAAAAAAAAGTGTCACTATTATCCATCCAGAAAAGATATGTTTGTCCTTCTGCCTGGTAACTGCTCCTGGTTTCTATTGCACATATTACCGACATGTACACAACTGCACTATTACAGTGCATCCACACCACATCTGGTGATCAGATTTGAAGCTACGTTATCTAGTAAAAACTTTTATATCAATTGACCGACTGCTTTCGAAATCAATGTAGATTGTAGACAATTACGTACAAAAGTGTATACTTACCAAGTAACGAGGGTGCACGTCTGGCTGGTGACGTCACGGATCGATGAAGGTCATTCATGTCGGATTGTCAGCCCTACTGGACGAAAGATACTATGCAAACAACGTTGATATACGAAAATAAACTTTATAGCTCCAGAATGTAGGTAAAATTGCCGTGGTAAAAATTCCAAAAGAGTAGGTACGACTTTGAACAAAGCAACATTACCATGGTACAATCTGAAATTATCCTTGATATCTTTGTGCAAAACTGATATGTGAATTAAAATGTTTCAGTTGTTCCGGCGGGTGGCGGCCGCGCTGCCTGGCATGGACTCTGCGGAGAACAAGCCTCCGGAAGACAGTATCCTTTACCAAATATCATATTATACCTTGACCTTGTGTACATACGGGCCGGACCGAAATACCGACCGTGCGGCATGCATTGGTGACTTGTTGCATGCGAACCTGGGGTCCAAAGTACCATGTTTTGAACGGTCTGATCCAATAACACACCGTTGTATTAACTTGGCAGTTCGATGAGAATACACACAACCTCCCAGTGCCACGATTACATAACAAATGGAGACCAAACAAACGTCATTTGAAACTCAATATGATTGTTCCATTAAATCGAAATGCCAAGTTGTTCAACGTAGAAAAGTACAAGTCATGAAAGAACTAATGTTTTTTAAATCAAGAGTCCACGCTCGTTCATACACGCACGTATATATGAAGTATTTAAGTAATATATTTAGTGTTTACACGGCCCATGATTGTGCTAGAATATGTTTTCGTTCCGTTAGAACAGGACATTGGCGGATTATTGAAACGGTGTTCATTGTTATATTGTGTGGAATCAGCTGCGTTTTCATTCGTACAGTTACAGTTGTTTTTCGCATATTCATTGTCTGCTTATTTAATTTGATGTTGGAAGTAATTTTTAATTAATTCTATAACTTAACTTTTAACTTTAAACAAATGATTCGTGTTACTTCGTTAGGTACTGCTCAATTGTCTGTGCAGAGACAGATAAATCTTGAAATCAAAACTTTCTCACTACAGATGTCACTTCATGTCAGGCAAAACATTTTAAGGCTATAATCTTGTTCACATAATTATGACCCCCAGCACGGCTTGAAACTAGTCGAGTAACCTCATCAAGCAGTTGTCATGGTCAATTTACGAGCTATTCTCGAAATGCATTACATTGTTATGTTATTAATTATTATACATAATTGATTATTATATGCGTAGCTGGTCCCACACGTAATGAATAGATCCCGGGTCAAGTGACGTGTTCCGGCCGAATCTGTGTTACGGTGGTGGTTATAACAGTCTAACGTCTGTGTTGTAAGTAAACTTAACGTTACTAATACTCTTGTCTATATACTTGTACATCACCCATTTGATACCATCATCGCCCGGTCCGACCACATATTATTGCGCAGTTTACAAAACTCTTGGGTGACATTTTTGCTCCATTGATTGTTCACGGTAATCAAAAATGTTCGCGAATGACTTTTTACGTATGGGAAAACCTTGTAAGAATTTGGTTCAGAAGTTTTTAAGTGTTTTCGAATACATAGATTTGACAACGCATTAGGATGAGTATTAATCATAATTATTGAGAATTCAATAAACATAAATAATGGTGCAATAGTAAACTAGGTGTATACCTTTTTATTCAAAAGTAAAGATAACAAATATTGCATAGTATTTGTAAGCTACGTAATCTGTGGTCCCATACATGGCTTGTTCACGAGACAAGTGACTAGACGCATTATATTTAGACTGCACGGTTGGTGCGGAGGCTGGGCAACCGGCTGCCGTGCAACGTGTCGCGGGTTCGATTCCCGCACGGAACAACACTTTGTGCGATCCACAAATTGTTGTTTCGGGTCTGGGTGTCATGTGTATGTGAACTTGTATGTTTGTAAACGCACCCACGACACAGGAGATAATCCTAGTGTGGGGCAACGTTTTTAAAAAAAAAAAACAAAAAACAAAAAAAAAAAAATTATATTTATTTTATGTAAAAACTATATGTTTATATTAAAACTAATAACATCGCTTTATAATCATGCTTTGTTCGTAACAATCAAATGTGTAGACGGCAACATTATTTATAATCAGAAATCGCAGCCAAATCAATATACATATTTGTAATGGCTACAGTTAACACCTAGTTATTATTATTAGGGTATTTAATTTTTATTTCTATTTAATATGGTGTGAACACAATCAACATGTAATTATTCCAAATGATCACGTTTGATGGCGTATCTAAAGAGATAGAGCGTTCATACAAATAATGAAACGATGTCGCAGTCAAATCAGCCAATTGCCAAAATAAAGTTGCCGCCTGTACATTGTACGAGCTTATATTTGTTCAACCGATCACTGCTTGATATATATATTTGTTGTTGCTATTTTATTATCATTATTGGCGCTTTAAAAAAACATTAGTTTCAATAGAAACCGCTTGACGAATGCATGGCCGACAGGCAGTTGGGTGTGGATTTACTTATTTACAGTAACTATGAACTAACTGTGTTTCTAAAAAGAAACTGCATTCTTTATAAAACTATTTTCGTACGAGTACGTTGTTTTAAGTTCAATGCTCTATTGTAGTTTCGAGGTCTATCCGAGCTCTCGAAAGTCTGTGTATTACTGTGTACTGGGTAGGCTAGACGACTACAGAGCTTGAAATGAAGCAATGTTCTTGACTGTCGGCAAACTTAAGGGGAAATATTAGTTCTTGATGATCCACGTTATACACCCGTAGGTACTATACCTACTATTCAAACCTCACTAAGGACTACGTAAGGAACATTTTAGAAAGGACCCTTGATAGTAAGCGTTAGCAATCCTATTCGAATTTCTAATGACAGAATAAAGAATCGAGATCCGAATTCATAAAATAAAGCCCAACTAGTATACAAAAAAATTCTTGCTTTATTTCGTGTTCGTGTTCTATCGAACGCATCCTAATCAAAATTCAGGAAGACAGTTATTGTATATGATACAAACTCCAGTTGAAAATGAAATTAATATTACATAACTAAACCAATTTTCCCCAGTTTGCCGACTTGCTCTTGTTTCCAACTGTATCCTAGTACGATTTTATTTTCCTTAATGTGTTTGTACAGTGCACGAGGTGATTCTGAGGCAAGCGCCCGGAGACAACAAGGAGCCAGACAGCGGGTGCGCGTGCTAGTGCCTCGCGCCGCCACGCTCGCGCCCCAACGACACGCATGCGCCCTATATACGCACTTGAACATAACTTCTACTCATACTGAAATACTTGCAATCAATTCAAGAATCAAAACGGCCTGATTCTGTACCACTAAAAGTTAAATCAATTTTTATATTTCTATTTGGGTGCATTAGGGCGTAGTGTAGAGGTCGCTAGGGCTAGCGACGGAGCGTTTGTACCGATCTGATACGTGCTAGCGTGCTTTTGTGTGTTTGTCTACAGTGATATTAGATGTTAATGTACATTCAACTAGTTTTCAAATTATAAACGATTAAGGCATAATATTACATGTGACTGCAAACTGTTTTGTATAGGCCTTCGTTCATAGAGTATCCTTAATCTTGCAAGGCCATATTGTGTGAGGGACGGGTTGCGTCGACCCCGGTTACGATAGTGACAGTTTATTAATTATTTAGCAATTGCAGCAAAGCTTCTTGTGCATTGACGCTCGTTAGTGCCATATTTAACGTGTACGTTCCTGTAAAAGTTAGGGGTGCAACCCGCTCTGTGTAAGAATTGCTACTATTAATTGAACGCTGCCCCACAAGTGAAGCTAAGGTCTCGTCACCTCGGCACAATGTGGGTCAGCGTTGGTTTATGAATCAAAGGTCTATGTAAAACAGCGACGTGCTACTTTGACAACGCATTTACACAAAAGCACTATGTATTAGCCGCACTAGGAACATGAGTACTTATGTGGGAATTTATTTAATCACGCTCTGCGATCCGAGAAGTAGCGAGGCGTTAACATCAACCTGCGACTGTCATTGGATTGCAATGTTGGTGCGATAAGAAACTTTCGTTATCATTGCCTTACTCAAGCAATAACAATGATTATTATAAAGTATACGTAGGCACAGAATGAAATTCCCATATTATTTTATCCCCTTGATAACATGATTATATAAATATATTCTAAGCAAGTTTTATATTTAAGTTCGTATGAGACTGAGACTGCATGCACGCCTTTACGTCACTATAACGCTTATGATAGTTTGGGTAGCAAGCAGGACTTCTTATGCGATACTGAACTGACAAGAATAATGTTACTAAGAGAGAATTAAAGTGTTTATTGCGATATATCGGGCGGTTGTTGTCGTAGCGCTAATAGACCAAATGTCACATTAAGTTAATAAATCTGATAATATGAATTAAAATTGTCTTATCTCCAAGATGTTCAATTTAATACATTTCGATAATAAAATGAAATCTATAGTTGTATCCACTAATTTTAAATTGGCTAGCTATTTGAGAAGGTCATTAGACCGTGACCAATATGGGCTATCTTATGGTCATGTATTTTACCACCCGGTAAATATATTTGCAATTTTACATTTTAGCAGCAATCTTTGAATGAGGATTAACATTAATAAATTTATCATGGCATTAATCCACCAATCATCACCAAACGTAAGCTGGTCCAAAAATCCTCTTTTCTGAAAATTTGGAACATTACACTCTGTTCACTGTCAACTATCGGAACGCAAATCTAGAGAAACAATGTTTTTTCTATTGCGTCTTATTCATCGACAGACAAGAGGTTAACAATAATAAACTGTACCAATTAGAAAATAAGTTACAAGTTATATTGCTTGGTGACACGACTATTAGTGTTACGATAGCGCTTCTATTTAATTTATTAATGTAGGAGCTACTCTATATTTTGTACATAGCATGGGACTGCGAGACTCTCCTTTCTTTCCCCTTACAAACATCACCGTTCGATAATGTCTATACATTTAACATTAAAGACTTATATGGGTCCATAAATAAATAAATAGAATAAAAAACTAAGGTGTTTTGTGTTACGTAACCCATTTGTTCCATAAAGATTCTGGCCGCCATACTACCTCATTGGCCGAGTGGTCGCAAGTGCTGCCAGGCAAGGGGTCTCGGGTTCGTTTCCCGGGTCGGGCAAAGTATTACTGGGTTTTTAAAAGAAAACTCGGTAGTAGCACGAAGTCTGGAATTATGCCCAGTATATGGCAATAGGCTCACCCCCTATTACATGGCACTCGTAACATAATGAGTGAAAAGTGGGTGTTACATTGTACAGTGGCATTGAGTGCCGTAATGTGCACCTCTGCCTACCCCTTCGGGGCTAAAAAGCGTGATGTTTTTGTTATCTTCTGGAAACTTCTTAATATGTATCAAATATAATGTTGTATCAGTGGCTCAATATAATCGCCAGTCAAAGGCAGCTGTGTGTAAAGACAGGGAGTCCCGCGGTCCCAGTACATTAGTATTATTTATTTACCTAGTGCTTTAAGTGCATAAATTTTTAATTCTTATAAATAAAACGATTTTAGTGAGATTTTTCACAGATAGCTTTCATTATTTCAATATTATGCATAACAATGTTTTGTAAATTAAATATAATTTATCATTCCAATGCTTTGTTAATGTCTTAATCAATACATATATACAATAAATATTATAACGTTTGGCCTCATAAAGGATATTTTTTAAATTAATTAATGCTTATTTGTAATTATAAATTATTTTTATAATTTAAGTGCAATATTTTTTGTACTGATTTTTGATGGAAAATGAGATGGTTGGACTGAGTACAACATACAATGAAGTATCTCAAACTAAAAATGACTCAATTGCAAAGCTCATAAGGTGTATAGTAATACACCTAGTTAGTTAGTTTGTACTGGTGATTCTTTTTTATGGTATTCGTGTACCCAGTCGAACCATTCTAGTTTTATTTAGACCATATCCATTTATCCAATTCTTATGATCGATAGCAATAATGTCGCTGCCTCGACGTCGCATGTACGCACTCATTTTAAATATATACTTATACTGTAGTACTTACCTATTTTCTTAATGGCGTATTCGTTTTGCGGGGCCCGTAGTAAAATTATATAAGTTACTCTTTAAAATTTACTCCTAGTTGGATGATGATTTAGTTGTGCAAACCATCTTTTAACCTTAAAGACCTTTGCCAAACTCTTAAATAAAATGATGTCTCATGGTTTAAATTACAACACCTACTGAGCAAGGGGCTTCAGGTTCGATTCCTGGGTCGGAAAGATCTCCCTGTATGTTTTTAAAGATGGCACGGACCTAAGAAAATAAGGCCACCTCGTATAATGATTAAACATGGACTTACTAAGTGACTGCACGGTTGTCACGGTGGCTGGGCAACCGGCTTACCGCACGGAGCAACTCTTTGTGAAATCCAAGGGTCTGGGTGTCATGTCTATGTCAAATTGTATCTTTGTAAATTCGCCCATGAAACAGGAGAAAATAATAGAGTGGGGTAACTTTAAAAAAATACAAACTGGTGAAAATTTGGGTGATATATGTATGTTCCTTGAAGAATAAAAGGTTTCATTTTATCCTACATGACAAAAGTCAAGCTGACCTATAAATCTTTAACAAATAATAGTAATTAAGTTGCGTCTTTTCCTAAGTGAGTGCGTTCGTCGGCTGTCATTAATTTATTTTGAAATTGTAAATACCCATATCACGCTGGTTTATTTTGAATAAAATATTTAAAACACTATCCTTTGTATTTTATTTGTTTTACCACAATAGGAATCTTTATCAATTGAGGGGTTTGTGCCCGTAGCCCCTTCTATTTTGGCCGGTTTTATTCTTTCAAGAAAGGTCTAACGTGAAGTCCAGTAAGATGGTGTTCTCTACACATGAGTACACCATTATCAGGCAAATAACAGAACCGAGATTTTTTTTAAATTTTAACCAAGGAGATTGGGAGACTCTTTATTGTGGTTGCACACGATCCACTGCACGGTTGGCGCAGTGGCTGACAAATGACTGCCGCGCAACGTCATGTATTCCGAGTTTCGATGTCATGTGTATATGTTTGTACACGGCACACGCATCTACGACCACGACACAAGAGAAATCCTTGTGTGGGGTAACGTTTGTTTAAAATGAAAAGATTGTCGAATTGTGGAATTCGGGTTCGACTCCTGAGTTTGTACGAAGTGTCACCCCATAAGTGATTTTCGGTTTTGAAAATTCTCAGTACGTAAACTGTGCCCGATGTGTGACAATAGGGTCGCCTATTGGCGTTAAGTAAAGTGATTGTTACATTACTTATGAGCCTGCGTTTTACTTCTTTTGCCTACATTTAAGGACCATAAATAAATAAGTGGTGTGATAATATCTACCAATCAATTAGTTATTGCTGTAGTGAAACACCAGATAGAATATAGCTAGTATGTGGAGTATGATATCCTTGACTCGTGGCACAGCGGTGGACTTGCAGACGCAGTCCCCCATGGGCTCGGAGCAGGAGGGCAACGAGAGCGGCTGCGTCTGCTGAACGAGCCGCGCACCCCGCGCTACCCGCTCACCCGCACCGCTTCACGCACTAATATCTTGTATCGATACACTATCGATGCGAAATATTTTATGTATTCTTTTAATTTCAATGTAAACATAACAAACCTACTGATGACAACTATTTCAGGCTTAACGTTATCAAGGTCTGTGTGATCTGCGACATGGATTTACTAAGGAAGAAGTTCAGGCATCAAAAGTATTTTGTGATCTGGTCGAAACAGTGCAACATTACAATTAATCTTCATTTTTAGTACATTCATGTCGTCTTCAATTTTATTGTCTACTTTCGGAAGACGAGCCTGTTGTCTTACTACGTTAATCCATTTCAAATAGTAAATGCAATATCACTGCAGAGAAGACTGGTAAAATGTTGTATACTTAGTTGTTTTTTCTAAAGTTTTGTATAATAATTTGGTTTTTAATGTGCATGCATCGGTTTCGTATTTGAGGTGGTCGTAGATAGATGTAGCGAATGGATGGCATATTATGTGTTTCATTACTGATTACAATAATATTTAGTCGCTGTAGAGATCATTTGAAGAGGAAACAATATTTCCTACGTATTTCAGAAGATAATAAAAATTAAGTCCTCAGCGAACAATGCGTAAATTGTACACAATGTCATCTACTGATCCCCGATTTTTTGAAGATCACAATATAACCTAAAGACAATGATTAAAAAAATATAAATTACGACCGTTATTGGGTAATAGTAACTTATTTTGCAGTGGCACTGATCATATTATTGTAATCAAAGAACTTATATAATATGCCGTCGTTAAGAGAACAAAATAGGGCCTGTTTCACGATGACGGATAATTTTATGTATTTTCCGTACAAAATGTGTCAAAGTATTTGTTATTGTAATAAAAGCAGGCGCTAATGGTTTTGGAGGGGGCTGGATGCATGGGGTGGTAGACTAGAATCGTCAATATTTTGTAAAGCAATGTTGAATGCTGTTGAATGGTAAAGTGCGACGGTGGGCTTTATACTTCTTTGTGTTTTAGCCCTGACGCCCTTGGACTAGAGGCAATTTTTGAATATTCGGAACTTTTTGCGTCTCTGCAATATTTAGAACTTCTAGTCGGATATCTGGTCTCTTTTTTACGAAGACTTTAGATATTAACATCTTAGTTCTACGGGCAGGTGTAGGGATAGGTTGGAGCCTAATCCAGTCTATCAATCTTCATTGGATTTTAGAAATTTTATCAAAGCAATAAAGTTGAAAATCCAATTAAGTTTGATAGAAACGGGTAGGTTGGTCACTGTAAATTCACCAATCACAATAAGTTCGGGATAGTTACAAAAATTGCACCGAGTTCATATTCTTATTAATTGTATTGTAAATAGTTTATGTACTGTATTTGTTTATTTAAATGTGTTTAAACATTTTCTGTGACTTTTCGACGGGCAGTACATTATGCCATTTGATGCTAAATCACGCGCATTTGCAAACAGACGCTGCCAATTTTGTTGTATTACATTATAAAAAGTGAAGTATTGTACCTAAGACTATTACATACAGAATCAGCAATAAATATATCTTCAATGCATAATATTACTTACACAGATTAAAAATCCATGTGCGCTTACATAGTACTTAGATATTAATTTTGAGTATTTAAAATAAAATTCTTTGAGTTATTTCAATAAATAGTTCGCTGATCATGCTCTATGTATGTCATAGTTATTATGTAAAGACTTAGATAATAAAACGTTATACATACGGTTTTGTTTTATATTATTAAGCACAACTTGTCTTGGGATCGTTTCAGTATTTTTATATCTGATTATAATAATTTATCGAACGATTGATTGTGGTCGCATTTTAATTGACATTTATAGAAAGAAATATGTCAGATTCTACGTAATTTACTTAATCCACTGAGTATGATATTACAATGATTTAAAGAGCTTCCACAAGAATCAAGTCATTAGTTCTATAATTTACAATTTTACGTACATTTCGTCGTTGCATAGTTGCTTTGGAATTATGATTTAATTATGGTAAAACTTAATATACAAATTATACACTGTACACGCGCAAAAACATTACTATCTAACTGGTTTGTTATTTGTTGTATCGAAGCTACAAAATAAGCGATTTACTATTGACTGCCGAATTGTTATATGATGTTGTCATAATACAGCTGTGATTAACTTTCTAAAATCCTACCTGTCGTGAAGTAACTGCTAGTGTTGTGTATTGTCCTTATTAAAATGTATTTGTAATGTTAATATTCGTGTCGTGTATCTACTAGTTACATTAGTTTCGGAATATCAGGAAAATAACATCATGTTGTGGTTCTTTAATTGGTTTTATACATTAATTAATTAATAAATAATATATTATACATAACATAAATTGTATAATAATAACAACAAATATTTATGTTAAGTAGTAAATATTTAAATCTATTTTTGTGTTTTGTTCACATTATTTTATTTACCTGGGTGGGTGGTTTGATTTGATGATCGCTACGTCATAATACTCAATATGGTGCTGTCATCATTACTATATGGACAGATTGGTTCCTACATATGTCGTTACACGAGTGTTGACATTATCATTTACATATTAATGGTGTATGTTACTTGAATACATTCTATGCTACTAATGTTCAATTGTGGAAGAACAATGGTGCGGAGGATCCGATCACAGGTTTCTTGTTGACTTGACAATTTAGAGCTCAATTTTCTATTCCGTTTAGGTGTCGGTATGAATTAAACGAACATTTATTATTTATAAACGTTGCCTCACTAAATTAACTGCATTTCTAATATTTAATTAAAACGCAACCTTTATAAGTAATGATTGTTTCACAAACACTGTTTTACATAAGTAGGTATTTCGGCTTAAGCTAATAAGAAATGAATTTGTACTTTTATTAGACTCGATGATATCGCAATGTGGAATAAAATATGCTTTATTGCCGTTTAGAAGAACTTTTGTTTTGTAAAAAAAAGTTAACATTAGCATGATGTTCTAAATATTAAATGCGTTTTGATTAAAATAATATTTTGTGTCATTTTTCCTTTTTTTGTTACTCACCCGTTATTACATGGAACGCAGCCAATGGATGAAGTGCCATTAATAAAACAATGTAAAAATTACCAGTAAATGTTTTATTAAACCAAAAATATACAAGTAGATAGAATTCATTTATATAATAGTAAAAAACAATGTTAAAATGAATAAAAAATTGTAAATAAAAGACGAGCCGACTAACGGAGAATGTCGTCTGAACATCTAGTATTAAATCTTCGCGTTCTCAATTTTCTGTGAACAAATACAATAATTAATAACCTGCATAGAAAAAATGGACGCAGGATATATTCCTATGGAAGCTACGGTCATGAAATTACTGAATATTGTATTTCCTGAAGGGTATACACCTGGGAGTTTTCAAGGTTGAATGAGTGAATAGGTTGCTTATGGAACGACGTGCAAGAGATAGTGGTCAAACGTCCTATCAAATATAAAAAAACTTTGTAAGTCCCTTTTAACAGCTGATTTTGACGTTGTCAGTGGCGTCTTTCAGTTTCAGAAACCGGCTGTAGGTACTAAGCGTATTAAGGTACAAAATTCTCCGGAATAAGTCTGGATTAGCACGGCTCCGCAGTTTTTTTTGGAGGGTGAAAAATCATCCAATGGCTTCTCCCGACGAGCCCCAGCAACCCGTTAAGCCTCCGTATCCAGCATTAGCTCTGCTGGGCACCATCTGTGGTGGTCTGATTGCTCTTTGAGGCGCGCGCGGAATGCAACTCGCCGTACGCACGAGTCTGGTTGTGATACGTGGGCGGCGAGGTATCCTTGCTCGTCGCCCGAAGTTTCTCCCGCAACGGCTGGGGCATGAGGAGGTTCTTTCCCTCACGCGCTCCGCCTCCTCCTTGGCTAGCATGACTGTTTCGCAGAAGTAGGAGACGGTATCCCAGTCCTCCTCTTACGCACCATAGTCTGAACTAGAGCCGGACGCGAGAGGTCAGCACGACTCCTCTAAAGTTCAATAAATAAGTTGCAAGCATGTAGGTACTTCCATAGAACATTACTACCGATGCAATAAAAATATGTCGGGCTAGCTATTCATTATTGAAAACCGACGAACCGATTAACTTTTGATTATAGCCCTCAGAGAATGAGGGCGCTGCTCACCCAGTCATCCACTGACTGGGTGAGTCAGGCGTCCGCTGTTAAGGCGGTAATGAGTGTTATTCCTGGTTCTGGAACTGAGGTACCAAATTGGGTGCCTATGCGAAATGAAAGACTCAGGTAGTATACCCATGTATTTAGTTAGTTATTACCTAATATATGTAATGTAATATTATATTTACCTTTATAAGATCGTCGTAAAATTGGTCATTGTTGTAATCAGTCCCACGTCGTCTATTCATAAATTCAGATATAGCAGCGCGTTTGGCATCTTCATGTTTCGTTAACCATTTGTCGAAGGGAGACATAAAAATACCAAATACAGAAACATTCGTAACGTATTTCCTCTTTGATTCATACACTAGTAAGGCATAATGCACTGCCTGCTCATTGTTGTATACGTTAACTTTTTTCAATTCTTCGTAACGCTTTGTAAAAATCTGCCAAAAAATAAAAGTAGGTTTAGTTTATTGTTAATTTACGTATAAAAATTGTAATGCCTTATGTGGCAATGCATTAGGATGACTTTCAATTTAGAATATCTAAGTAGTAGGAAGGTGCCTGATTGGAAAGCGGAGTGTTGGGTGTTTGTTGAATATAGACTCGTAATAAAAAGTGGTATAAAAACCGACATCAAGAAACCAAAAACTAATAACAAACAAAAAGTCAAAACTAAAAAGAAAAAAATATCTATCATTAGTATTGATAGGTTACCCACCCACTAATAGGTTAGAAGTCGGCGCCATAAGTTCTATACAAAATTATTTATTAAAACCTTAATAGATACCTAATTTACAATTTTGTGGCCATTAAGTTATATGATTATGATATGAGCTTATGGCACCGACTTCAAACCTATCAGTGGGTGTGGGTGGGTAACCTATCAGTACTAATGATAGTTATATTTTTGCTTTTTAATTTTGACTTTTTGTTTTTTATTAGTTTTTGGTTTCTTGAAGTCGGTTTTTTAAACGCAGTTTTTATTTTATTATTTTATCATTTTCAGTTGATCCGTTTTGTCACTTATAATCTACATAGGTGAAAAGTTCTAATCAATACAAATTAATCAAGCCCAAACACAAGGTAGTTACTGTATACCCGATACCGTTGAGGAGTTCTCTCGACTGTCTGTCGGCTTCATCATCAGGTTGACTCCAGACCCTTATTAAATTGTAGTGTTTAAAAATCCTAATTGAAAATCATAAAAGACGCATTACTCTCCCCTACAATTTTCGAAAATTCCCCTCGGTTTCCCTAGGATCTCATCATTAGATCCTGACCTCATAGAAATGGGACCATCTCGGGAGTATGGGGGACCCTTTCAAACAAAACAAGAAAATCGGTTCACAAATGGCAGAGCAATGCGCGAACAAACAAAAAAAAAATTAACAATCAGCCGAACATAGTACCTCGCCTCCTCCTTTTTTTGCAGTCAGTACAAATAGATACTTATTAATATTTATTCAGTGCATGTATGTACATACAATTATTATTATAATATTATAGGTTTTTGGGGGTGGGGGAATCATCGTTGACTTCGATCGGGAGTTGGGCGAGGCGAGAGAGAGAGAATGTCTCAAACTCTCACGAACTTAAAGCCACCCTACTTCAAAGCCGGTACCGCTAAGCCGTCTGCAGTTCACGACATATTATTATTATATAGCTCCATCCGTTTTGCGAAATAAGGATATAATATGTTTTTGTAAGCAATTGTTTAAGGAGGAGGGTACTTGCCTCGTTTACTGCGGTCTTAAATTCTGTGGTATCGCGCTGCGGTCGTTTAGCGAGGATGTCGGCCATTACTTCAGTCACAGCTTCGTTGTGCAAGTCCTCCAGCCCGCGCGGGTGGAAGCAGCACGTCTGCGGGCCCCATGCCCGCGTTATATAGTTATTGTACGCGTTTTCAGCCGCCTGCATTGCCATCATGTTGCTGTAATTATTCGCTTTTTCCATATCCCCAAAGCAGTCGTTAATTTCCTGAAATAAGTATACAAATATACCTCGTATTGTTACATTATACGACTTACAATTATTACAATTCAGAATTTCGATTGAAAGAGTAAGATAATATGTTTCATTAAGTATACATCAAGTGTTGACTATGAAGCTACACATTATACGTAGATGAAAGGCTAATCGAATACGTACTTGTAGAAGACGCGCAATGAATGCGTCATTTGCATGCTCAGTGGGGCGGCTCCTCAAACTATAGAACGCGGTTTTAGCCAGTTGCACTGCGTCTTCGTGCTGCGCGGACAGTCGCTCCGAGGTGACGCCTGTCTGGTCCATGTCCATCTTCATTCGTCTCACGTACGTGTCCCGGGCCTCCCACACGGCGTTTAAGTTATTCCGATTACTGACCACCGATAAACTCTCATGAAGCTGTTCTAAAGTCTGAAAATATAACATACCTAGTAGCAAAGTTACGTACAACGTATTTAAGTGGGTACCTATGGATTATGTTTTTATTTTCAATCGTTCCCCAGTCATTGAAACTGTTGGATATGTAGGTACCTACTATAGATATAATTTTTAATATTTCTATGGAACCGACTTGTCTACTTAGTTAGAGTAACCAAATAATAATAGTAAAAACTCACTCTTAGTAGATTAGTTTTTTTGATATCTTCTTCGCCTTGGGGCACGTCCCTGGAGGCATCGAAGATTTCGAGCGCCTGTCGCAGAGCATCTGCGTGCAGCTCCTCCAGGTCCTGCGGGTGCAGGCACAGCCGCGCGTGCTCCGCACACACGCGGCTCACAGCCGCCTCGTAGGCAATCTTAGCGAGGGACATCGTGTCTTGAACCTTAAACTCATTGTCCCGAGTGTGTTGAGCCTGACAAGCGTCTAATTCCTGAAAATTTCAAAGTCTCTTATATACCATTCCGGCACAAACTTGCAGGAAAGTATTTGTAAGTTTATTATTGTCTACCATTTTGAGTGCTTCAAGATGAGCATTAACGTCGGCTTGAGCAGCCAATTTCCTTTTCTCTGTGAAGCGTCTCAGGGCTTGGTCCCGCGCTTCCTCGTGCCATTCAGTGAGTGTTGCGTTGCTGACACTGAAGCTGTCGCGCACGCGCTCTTGCATGTACTTGGTGTACAAATCGCGCGCTTCCCGCGTCGCCGCCAGCAGGCACGCGTCTGCCGTCGCCTGCAAGTCCCAAGCACAATTAGACACTTAAACGTTTAAAAAAAAGACACTAAGTAAACACATTTACTTTTTTGTTGCTATAGGTGTTCTATCTATGTAGAGGTACATATTATGTATTACAGTACTGCTGTCGCCCGCAGGCCCGCGTCCACCGTCGCCTGCCCGACCACACACTAGCCTATACATTCTATGCTACCCGTGTTGCTACCACACCCCTTAAAGAGTCATTGTTGTTAACCGTGCAAAGGAAATGAAAGAGTGAACGAATGTTATACCATCACTCAATAGTGTTTGTCGATACCTACAACTTCGTAGTAACATATTGTAAGTGTTGAGATTCCGAAACTTTCTTCGAATCTTTTACCGCTATTATTCCGCCCGGCCACCGAATCTCAATGAAATAGGTTCAGTGGTTTAGAATAAAAAGTTTCAATTTATCCCCAGATTTCAAAAAATTCTGGAAATAAATTAGTTTTACCCTACACCCTCCAATTAACACCCATACCCACTCTCTCCGACCAGCAGTTGCAACTTGCAGTGCGTTGTCTGTTAGTCAGTCAGTCACTCAGTTCTGAAGAGTTTCATTTATACAGAGGTAATTGTAGATTTCTAAAAATAGGTATGATACGCAAAATAGGTACAAACAAACCTTTAAAATGGTAACTGCCTCTGGTATCTCACCGCTGTTAAAGATATTTAAGTACTTTTTAAAGTAGTCAAGTAAATCTTGACATTGGATGAGCTGGCCTGTCACCAGTTTAGGAACGAGCTGTGTCGGTTCAAACAGGGAAGGAACCAACTCCAAGAGAGTTCTTCGGAAGTCTGGTGTCAGTTCTGAAAAAATAAATGTTTCACTTGCTGTGTCACAAATTCAGACTCCGTGATATGTTTAGCAATATTTTTTGAAAACTTTATAAAATTTTCGTTCGCCAACCTAGCAGTTAAATTCATTATATCTGAATATGTATGTGATATTGTAAATAAAATAGAATAGAAAGTTCTTTATTGTGGGTACACCATATAAAAAACAACAAAAATAAATACATGTACTGACCTCGCAGGCAACCGGCGAAGAATTGGTTGTTCACGGTAAGGCCCGGGTGCGGCATCAGGCAACAAATCATCTTATCGAAACATGACCTTATGTGTTCCCGGACTTCCCGTAATTCTGGCTTTTGGTTCAGGTTTGTCTGCGAATAAACATTTTTTTTATTGGATAAGCCGGTAAACGAGCAGACGGATCACCCAGATGGTAAGCAATCGGCGCCACCTATGGACTAGACTACTATGGTGTTACAAGTGCGTAACCGACGTTTTGGAGATTAGGAATTTGAGTATTGTTGAGGATTCAGGGATTGGAGAGATTGGGGAGGGGAGTGGGCCTCCGGTAACCTCACTCACACGATGAAACACAACGCAAGTTTTGTTTCACGTCGGTTTTCTGTAGGGCTGTGGTATCACTCCGGTCGATCCAGTCCATTCGTGCCGAAATATGACATCTCCCACATTTTGTTTTAATACCTCGATAATGGGGATGATGACAGGGTATGAAAATTAAAAATATAATTAGTCCGTAACTTAGGTAATAAAAAAATATTAGACACGTATTTTTTTATTTTGTTGTATAATAAAACAATACTTAGATAAAACGAATCAAAGTTTAGGAGTGGGGGCTAAAACGTCATTTCTTAGTATAAAATGTACTGAGAAGTGACGTCACGCGACATTTCAAATCAATATATCGTCGAAACTATTCGTTTCCGTAAGAAAATAAAAAATACGTGTCTAATGTTTTTAAATAATCTACCAGACGGACATTAAAATAAAAATTAGTCGTCTACCCCATTACTCTTAGAGGGTCCATCTATCTACAGTTCATCCAGTTTCCCAAGTTACGTGTCTAATAAGTAAGTTCTACGTACCTATACCATGTAGGTACATTATTATTATTACATTTACAATGAATAGGTTTCACCCATTCTTCAGATCATCGTCATCATTCATCATTCTGGAGATATTTATAAGTGATCGCAAAAAATAGTCAATTAGTAAAACTTTATCCTAATATTGATTTTACCTGTAGCCTTTTGTTGAGTAATGTAGACCCGCCGTAGAATCCGTAAGGGTGTTCAAAAGCGTGTGGCCAATCCCTGACGAGGAACAGTAGAGTCTGGAACGCTTTGGATTCAGTGTCGCACGCGAGTCGACCGTACTCCGTGAACAGCTGGCGGATGAAAAACAAGACATTAATTAAACCATAGCGTCAGCTTAATCTAACATTTAATTAATGTTTGTTCGGTGTTAGTATGGATAACGTAACACAAGACAACCTGCAAGTGCTGTAGATCATCTTCCTTGATGTTACCGGACAGATTGTAAATCTGCACGGACGAGATGAGCGTGGACAGCGCGAAAATCGTCGAGTTCTGGCCTATCGTGGTCTCCGAGTCGAAGGTGCCCTGTGTATCCATTAGCAACACGGCCACCTGGTAAATAAAGTAATTGTTAAGATCTTTGAACAACCTTCAAAATACAACTAAGACAATAGAATTTCAATTAACATAAACACCTACATAGGTAGGTAACTAGGTATTCGTAGCACGTAATACATGGTGGATATCAGTCTGCTTCAAAATGTTCCGAAGTGTGCATAAACTAATTGAATTGCTATAAATAGCAATCGCTTCCATGTGGTTTTCATGTATCTGCAAGACGGGGCACACAATCAGACAATATCTAAATCTAGGTAAGTTTAAAGGAAATGCTACCGACTCGCAGAACTGCCATGGTTCCAATTCAAGGTTAACATTCGTTTTAATGTTTTGGTAACAACGTAAATAAATTCACCAAAAGCTCAGAAATGACTTGTAACAAAAAGGGTGCAGCACCTTATTACTTTAATAGAGGTATTGAGGTATAACGTTACCCACCTTCTCGCCAGTGGGCAGGGTACTGATGATAGGTTTTGACCACAGGTTGATACCAGTGGTGTCCCGATCATCGCCACCTCGCCAGTGAAACCCTTGTAGTGGCTCGTCCTCGGTCCCCAACCAATTGCCATTCACCTGACTCTCGCGCTAAGACATGAGAAGAGAACATGTTTCTATAAACTTTTCTATAAGCCTATAGATGCTTACCATAGAAGATGATCGTCTGAATACATAGAAGAAATAGTAGTGGAGGTACTTACAGGCGCGTTGAGGTATCTAAGAAAGAAGTCGAGTATGAAGGACTTGCCACCGCGGTAGGCGCCGGCGACGCTGACTACCACCACTGGCAGGCCGCGCACGTCCTGCCGCATCAGCACACGGCGCAGCGCCTCCTCGTCCAGCTCGTACCGCTGCGCGCCCTCGCCCAGCTTCACCACCTGTACGCCCTCGCCCCGTTCCAAGTCGCCCATGTTACCTGACAGATATTAAAGGTATTATGCAAAACTAAGGCCACCACCACTTTGAAGATGTAAATAATACATCCGTCTTAATTAAGTAGGTAAATATTTTTATGAATTCCTAAGGCAGAAATTAAAATTATCATCATCATCATCATCGTTGGCGTCAATAGGCAGTGACGGTTCAGTTGTGGAGTATGGGTCTCTTCTACCTCGTGTGTTCATAAGTTTTGAGACAAATTAAAAGTTGCATATCTTTTTAACTCGTCGAGTACCGGTTTTGTAGACACAATTATAGAACAATAGGTTGCGGTCACCGGTGACCGCTTGGTGTTTGACAGTTTAAATAATAAACTTATATTTATAAAAACAATAACAAACATTAAGTAGATAGTAAGTAAAAATTAAATATAATTATTATTCAAAATGACCACCCCTGTTTTTAATACATGCCCTTAGACGATTTGGCCAGTCATCAATGGCGGCACGAATCTTTTCCAGAGGAATTCGCTTCGCTTCTCGGACAAGAGCTCGCTTAAGTGACTCCAAGTTTGGGTGGGACTTTCGGCAGGCTCTGAGCTCTAATTCGGTCCATAGAGAATAATCCAGCGGGTTGAGGTCGGGGCTGGAGGAGGGCCATTCGTTCGCCGCAATGAAGGCCGGCACATTTTCCTTCAGCCAAGCTTGGGTGGTTTTAGCCTTATGGGATGGCGCCGAGTCTTGCTGGAAAACCCAATACTTGTTATGGAATAGGGTATTAGACAGGGGTTTCACAACAGTCTCTAGAATGTCACTTTGATAATTTTTGGCTTTCACCTTGACGCCTTGTTGGCAGAAATGAAGCTGAGTGACACCTTCGTACGAAACTCCCCACCATACCATGACACTAGCCGGATGATGAGTACGCGAGACATTCCGTGCTGAAGGTGGGACATCCTTGCTACTTTTGGCATACATTTTATTGTTTTGTCGATTGAACTTTTCTTCGACGGTAAAGATTTTCTCGTCGATGAAGAGTATCTTCCTCGCATCGTGTCTCCTAAGCAGTATTGGACAACGTTCGCGTCGCAATTGACGAAGGCGATCGTTTAAAAAGTGTACTTTTCTACGGCTATACGCCTTAACCTTGAGATCATATTTCAGTATTCTGTTGACTGAAACGCGCGAAATATTGGTCTGCAGAGCGAGTTTCTTCTGAGTGCGACACGGATTTCGGCGAAGTCGCTCTCGGATAATTTTAATGTTCGCAGGCGTCCTCACAGAGCGTGGACGACCACTTCTTTGCCGATCATGTAAAGAAATTGTCTCCTGGTATCGTTTAATAGTGTAATACACGAAGTTACGGCTCACACCAAAACTTTTCAGTTCTCGGAAAATGTCCATAGGTTTTCTTCCCACCTTAAATAATGAAATGACGGTCGCACGTAATTCTTTTGTTCCCTCCATTACGAGAAAATTTAAATATAATAATCCGAAATCATAGATATTAAAAGTTAACATTCCAAATTCAAAATTAGAAAAAGAAATATACAGCAGCCAGTAATTTTTATTTTAATTTTATAAGCAAAAAGTTTGTCTCAAAACTTATGAACACACGAGGTATATAGGCGGTTTGCAATTTTTACAATCTTCGCGAGTGGCATATTTAGAGGTCACAGTAAGAGTAGGTACGGTATAGGAGAGCCTATGAAGGTTCAGGTTTATCCGACAGCACAGCCTGATATCTGATCTCTGTCAGTGACTGTCGGATCTTATAATAACCGTGAGTGGAGTAATAAGGGTTGTACGAATCTTTAATTTTACATTCATAGGTAATACTTTATTTGTAAAATTCCATGTGAATATACTTGAATAACCTCTTCGGGCTCACTAAGTACCACCTACTTAAAACACACCAATACGCACTTCCGCAGTCCTACGAGGTATAGTGATGCTCTGTTTACTATCACGGTAGACCATTAGGTGAGGTGTTTTTTAATTTTCTATCCCTCCCTTCCCCACCCCACAATCTTACTTAATATCCCACATATTAAAAAATGTGGGTTTTCTACGTAAACTCTTTGTAGAGTTATTGTAAAAAGATATAAAAAGCTTCGTGCTTTTATTTATGACAATTTTTTTAGTCTATGTGATATTCAGTAAAATCATCTGCTCCTCTAACTTCGCTTCTTTAATCTTACGCATGTACATACATTGTAGGTACAATCTGGATAATGGACTAAAGTAGTATATTTTTTTTGGTCATTACAAATAAAGTACTAGACTGTACGGTTGGTGCGGTGGCTGGGCAACCGGCTGCCGTGCAACGTGTCGCAGGTTCGATTCCCGCACGGAACAACACTTTGTGTGATCCACAAATTGTTGTTTCGGGTCTGAGTGTCATTGTGTATGTGAATTTGTATGTTTGAAACGCACCCACGACACAGGAGAAAATCCTAATGTGGGGCAACGTTTTTTTTTTAAAAAAAAAAAAAGTTGCGTGATATTTGCCGAGACGCCCGAGATTAGATTTGACTCGACTTCCTCTCTCCTTAAACATCTCACGTAACTTATGGACGCCGCGCCGACTAACTCGACACTTAAGAGCATTAATTTTATCTAATCTTTTGCATATACAATAGATATAAACAATACAAACTGTGTAAATATTGATTAAGGTGATACATCATTATGTGAACGATCGATACTTCGGCGTCTTCAGAGAGGTTTTAAAAGAAAACAATCAACCGAGCTTTGTTCATATTATTATGTTCAAATGTACCTAATTCTCCCGCTGGTACTTAACTTTTCAAGTATTTAATAAATACCTACGTATGTGCTGTAACATAACTATAGATAAATAAATATATCGTTAAACTAGCGAACCCCGCGAACTTTGTTTCGCGTTGCAATTTTGTCTGTAGATCTTTGTTTTTTTTTTTTTATAAAAACGTTGCCCCCACACTAGGATTCTCTCCTGTGTCGTGGGTGCGTTTACAAACATACAAGTTCACATACACAATGACACCCAGACACGGATCAACAATTTGCGGATCACACAAAGTGTTGTCCCGTGCGGGAATCGAACCCGCGACACGTTGCACGGCAGCCGGTTGCCCAGCCACCGCACCAACCGTGCAGTCAATTTTAAAACGTTAAAAACCCAACAAAAAAAAAGAATTAGCGAAGTCGGTTCAGCTGTTGTACATACATATGTATAAAGCTGAAGAATTTGTTTGTTTGTTTGTTTGATCGCGCTAATCTCCAGATAGTTGAATAATTTAATTTTTATGTTTGGTTCACTTCGTAGAGAGACACGAGGTACAACTACATAGTTAACTATTCACGATAATAATATGTACTCACCACTATTTGAGTAGTCCACCATCTCTTTTAATTAAATTAAAATATTTTAATTTATTTCACACTCCTTTGTATTTAGTATACAATAATGAACAGTGAAACACACATCTGCTTCTGCGCAAAGTTCTTTGGTATCTGAAACTTGTTTAAAACAATCTCTTCAATTTATAAAGGCTTTCAACCGCTTCAGTGAGTGCACCTAATTTGAACCTTAAGCTGATCCAATAGATACTATATTTTAATGTTTTTGCACTAAGAATCGGGAAACCCTGTGTTATAAATAGAATAAGTGCTTTTAGATACGAAATTTTCACAGTTACCAGTACAAAAAAATCGTACCAAATTGGAAGAAAATAGGAGAAGTACGAAATAATTGTAAGTAAGTATACGAAAGCTAGTAGGTTATGATTTAAAATAAAACCTTTTTTTATTATGGAACCTACTATGACTTCCATGTAGCCTGAGCCTGTTGTTATTTATTTACTTATTTAAACCTTACCTAAAACTATCATTATATTTTCTCCATTGCGATAATTTCGGCCTAAATGTAAGTACCTAATTACTAATTTAAAACGGGACAAAACGAAATCAAAATTATAGCATACACAATCTTAAGTATTGAAAACAAAGTAAATAAAAAGAAACCTTTTAAGTTAAAAAAAATGTTCCTATAATACACACATTAAAACTTAACATTAATCTATAAAAAAAATGAAAGAGATGAGTTCACAAGATAAAATACGGATCTATTGTGTTCTGAGACTGCACATTTCATGCATCGAACGCATTGGTGTGTTAAACGTTCTATGAGCACTTATGTACATCTCTATGTTGATCCGTTTACGATATATCAATTAATTTATTATACAAATAAGTAGACATTTCGTAATTGTATATCTGGCAATACTAAACATTAATAAAACTTAAGTGCGTTCAGCGGGACTTTCCGTAGCCGCGTAGCGGAGTCACGTCATTTCAGATAGTCATAGAGTATAAAAATATTACCGAAGGTAAGATGAAACTGTGCGTATGTAGTAAGATTAGTCAATGACTTGTAAAACAATAATTCTTCATTGTCTTATTGTTAGGTGGTTGCGACTGCCAAGCAAGAAGTGTCAAGGTTCGATTCTTAGGTTGGACAAAGTATTGTTGCATAATATGCGCGTCTGCTTTTCAGATGGTTTAAATTGCAATATTACATTTATGTAGGTATAGTTGCTATAATAAGTACATAGTTTATATATCTAAGTCAGTCCGGAGTAGAATTATTCTACCTACTTACCTTTTCTATACCTAAATAAATAAACAAATATAATGAGTAATCGTGATATTTGTGTCAATTATCGTGAATAAATTGATTAACTACGTAACACGTATAGACGATAAGGCTTATTATCCAATTCCATCCATACTACTGAGTAAATAGGTATAAACTACATACATACATACAGTCTATTTGCTTAGTCTTTGTGGTGGATTATACGAATTTGTTTAGTTTATTTATTTTGATTGTACAGAATACCTATCTACGAGGGAGAGGCCCGATTAAACGGTAGTGTTGCCATACAGTTATTCAAATTGCTACAAATGTGTTTTAAATTTTATTTAATAAAATTATGTCGAGTAAATATTAATAAGTAATGTAAATTGAATTAAGAATTCATGGGTATGTTAGTGTGTTTAATATTTAATTATTTAAATATTTATATATATTAAAGTTGATTAGAATAAAGGTTTTTCTGATAAACAAATACCGAATAAAGACTCATAAGTTGGAGTTCTCATAAACATGAATTACAAATTTTTAGAATTTTATAGATTATCACGTTTGGGAACCGTTCTTTTTTATTTTTGTTATTCTTAAGCTGGTGCGTTGACTGACATAAATCTTATATTACTTTGCCCGAACCAGAAAGTGAATCTAAAGCCCCTTAGTCAGCAGTGGCGCTTGTGACAACTCGATCAAAAAGGCAATCAACTAAACGTATGCAACAGACATGATAAAGAGGTTAAATTACAAAAAAACTAATTTAATTCAAAGTTTTTATCAGAAAAGGTATAAATGAATATTTTGTAAAAATATAATTAACTCGTCGAGTACCGGTTTTGTAGACACAATTATAGAACAATAGGTTGCGGTCACCGGTGACCGCTCGGTGTTTGACAGTTTAAATAACTATTATAGTTGGGTATTTTATATTTTATTTAGATATAAAAATACCTACCGAAACAGTAGAAATGTATATAAACTGGCAACAATACTAATTTTGAATGCGGTTATCAGACACTACCTCTATTCTTAATTCGAGACATTCGCATTTAAATAATGTTATAAATGCCAAACGTAGATAATGTAATATAAACTTAACGTCAATTGCGTTACAGTTCAAAATAATTTTACGCGATTTGCGGTGAAAGACTTTGTATTCTGGTTGTATTGTATACTAACAAAACTTACATTAGGTGTATCAGGCTTGTATGAGACTTATCATTATATACAGAAATCTTGTAGTGTACGGACGTTCGTACTCGGTGCTTCTTAAACTTTATACTTAGTTAAAGTGAACCAAAAGTTATAAAACTACGAAAAATTATTGAAACCTAAATTAGGTAAGTGTGTTTCCTATTTACCTAAGTGTGAAAAGTGTCATTATTAGAATACTAACTAGGTCATTTATCAAACATAATAATAAATCACTGGTTTTATCCCTCGAAGGATTACCTACATACTGAAATTTAACACTCACTTGTTATTGCCACTATCACTAAAAAGCCGACAATGTGTCTACTATCTACTTGCAACAAACTCCTTTGATGTTGCGAATGTCCATAGGAGACACTAATTGCTTACCATCAGATACACAGTATGCTCGTTTGCCGGCCTATTTAAAAATGCAGATACTTGCATCAACAAATACAATAAATATCGTACTCTGTGTTGTTTCTGCCTACGTTCATAGGACGTAGTCGTGAGTTTATGTATAACAAATTTTACTTGCTATAGGTTACGAGACCTCGTTTTTTATGGAACAAGTCTGTAATCGAGCAGACGAATCACCTGATGGTAAGCAACCGTGCTACCCATTCACAACACTAGTGGTGTCACAAGTGCCTTACCAGGGATTAGGAATTTTATTGTTAGGGATTCGGGAATTGAGGAGATTGGGGGATTTTAATTACGCCACGTGTCCGTAGCCTCGTGTTTGGGATGTGACAAGTTAGTAACACAGTTTCATTTGAAGTGCCTACAATTGATAGTGGAATAGGAAATTAATGATTGCTGATTAAAATGTAAGCTAAACAGTCAAGAGGCTATCTATATTATCAATAATGCAACTGATTGCCTATCTACACGATATCTTCGGTACCTTACCTTTATATAATTATGTATGTACTTAGATATAATGAGGTAAATTGCCCCGCTTTTCAGATTTACGCACACAGTTCTTTACTTGGAATGTTATCCGGTTTCAGAATAAGAGATAAATACTAAGATAAGAGTAATAATAAAATGTTTATTTTCCCGTTTACGGTACTAGACGTTGTCACAGTTACCTACGGCAGGTTACCTACCATATACTTACATGTTATTGTTATGAAGGGACAGATGCTGTAGCATTCTTAACATAACACTTTTTGTTATCTGTCCACCACATATTATTTTTATTCTTTTTTTTTGGGAACTTTTGAATAGACTACACATATTATTAACTCGTCGAGTACCGGTTTTGTAGACACAATTATAGAACAATAGGTTGCGGTCACCGGTGACCGCTTGGTGTTTGACAGTTTAAAAGCAATTGGTATCAATCTTTGGCTGGTGTAAGAAGAACTCCTAAGATAATTGGAGTTGGGCACATTGAATATTTGAATTATCATTCATGTTTATTTCATTATAACATAACATAACATCACGCCTTTTATCCCTGAAGGAGTAGGCAGAGGTGCACACAGAAGTAACACCCACTTTTCACTATTTATGTTATGAGTGCCATGTAATAGGGGGTGAGTCTATTGCCATATACTGGGCCCATTTCCAGACTCCGTGCTACTACTGAGATTTATTTTTAAAACCCAGTAATACTTTGCCCTACTCGGGAATCGAACCCGAGACCCCTTCCCCGGCAGTCACACTTGCGACCACTCGGTCAACGAGGCAGTCATATTTCATTATAACTCAAACAGATATGCTACAGGGCGCTGTTCTAGACAGTTTACGCTGAAATTTTAAATTGTAATCAATATTACCTTACTTAAACTTACCAAGATCACTTTTTAAATAAACATGTTGGATTTACATTTATACTACTATCCTACTAATAATACAAATGCAAGTTTGTATCTTTGTTTGTTACTATTTCTGCTAATGAGGTCTTAGTACGAGTTTGTTTTACGTTTAAAGTGATCGTAACGAGTACGCGTTCGGCGCTCTGATTGGCCGGCGCCAATGAACCAATGAACCAACCAATCAGAGTGCCGGCGAGGTTTCGTTTCGATTACTTTAAACGTAAAACAAACTCGTACTAAGGCCTCTGTTCCGTAAAAACGGCTGAAGGGATCGAGATGAAAGGAGATGATTTCGGATTCATACTTCCCCAGGATGAGAGGAGTCGGTTGAAGACATTTAAAAAAAAAGACGACTGCGAAAACTTTTCGCATTATCATCACAATTTCCTCAGATTCTTTATTCTAGCAATATCGATCATTAGGTATTTTGCGTTTTCTACCTAGCACCTCTAGAAAGCAATTCTTCTTCTCGATCGCTTACTTCATTTCTGAAGGTCGTGCCCCTGAAAGGCTTTCATTGCTCTCTGTGTTGTTTCCCTCCACCTTGTCCTGTTTTCGGTTTCTCTCAGGGCTTTCGTAACAGAAGAAAGAAAGCAATAAATGTATGAAAATGTTGAATCTTTAAACTGGTATAACTTCTTCATCTTGGATCCTATAACTTTTATGCTATATTGACTATTGCTCCAAATGACTAGATCTAACGATACGTACCATTTTTTTCGTTGGCGCCACTTGAGAGTGGCGCTGTTCTGAGGAACAGACCCAAAAAATGATCTCCTTTGAAGTATGTGTCCTCCCTAGATTATGGTCTTTTTTTTTAAGTTGGAAAATCACAATTATGGTCTGATATCGTCATTATATCATAAATATCAAGATTATGGTCTGGAATAACATGAGTATAAGCTAGTTTTTATGGCAGACTAGTATTTAATAACGCGTTAAAACAGGCAACAAGCCATTCTCAGGTTATTATTGCACAAGCATCAACATTTT